GATCCTCGGCCTGTGATGGATCGCCTAGATACAAACATGCTTCCGCCAAGAAGCGAAACTCTACCAAAGAAAAGAAAACCTGAGTAGTCTAGGATGCGGAGCAAGCTCTATGCTGAGTCCATGCGATGCAACCTAGGATATAAAATGTCACAAAACAACAATGTCACAGCTAACAGCCTAAGTGAAAGTAGGAACAACTAACTAACATACATGTCCTAGGAAAGCAAAAAGTAGTGACAACTAGATCCTAGAATGTTGGAAGCACTAGCCTCAGTCTCGTAACAACTGACTAGTGTATAAGTCTTAAGAACAGTAAAAGCATAACAACTAGATCCTAGAAATGTCGGAGGCAATAGCCTCAGTCTGAGAGCAACAAAGCAATCAACAAGACAACCATATGTCACATGAGAAGTGTGTCGCACACCAAAGGGTGGGATGGTCTCTAAGGGTGGCGAATGCAGCCTAGGGGTTGAAAACTCCTAAGGGCATCCACACATAGTGACAGGGGAAAACGCATGTCATCAGGCTCAATGAGGGAAGGGAACTGGGAGCGAACAGAACCAATGACCCTAACAGATAGACCATCAGGGCGGGTAATGCTCGACTAAGGGGTGACTGCTATGGAGGGTCGACCATGCAAGGGAACAAGGGAGCCTGGTATACTGGGCGCACCTAGATGAAGCATGCGGGGCTGCCTAACTAGGGCGTGAGGGCTGGCGAAGGGTAGAAAGATGATTGGTAAGAGAATCATGCAAATGACTCCTAAAGTGAGGGAGGTCGGAGCTAGATCCGTAAGATGGGAAGCCAGGGCAACGCTACGGTCCCGATGCCTATGCGTATACCAAGGGAGAGCCCAACTCAGAGGAACCTGGCTAAAGGGAGACCATCATGCGACACAAGCAGGGTACTATACAGGGTAGAGTGGTAAGAGAGTGGCGACGTCTGAAGTAGGCAGAGCTGATCGTGATGAAGTCCATGAAGCTGCCGATGACGTCCACGATGAGAAGTCCGGAATGCCGTCAATAAAGAGCCGCAGCGTCGACGAGCTGAAGTAGAAAAACTGATGTGGATGAAGTACTAAGAAGTCAAAGACGTGGGAAGGTAAGTCGGAGTCAATCGTCGTATCGAGCAGGACGACGACGAGTGCGCTATGGATGCTCAGAAGCATCCGACTGCTGCTGAAGGTCTGCCTCAGATGGAGCAGGCTCAACTTCAGCGGTCTCCTCAGCCGGAGGAGAAGGAGGAGGGTCAGTGGGCTGAGGAGGAGCAGTGAACCCAGCACGACGAGCACGGTCATAGGCACGCACCAACATGTGAGCATGCTGCAAGTGCTCGAGGGGCTCCCAGGTAGCCTCCTCATCAGGGTAACCCTTCCAACGTACAAGATACTCGACGTGGGGAGGGTTGTCGTCGGTGACTCRGCGACCAATGATGTCTGAAACGAGGAACTCCTCGTGGCCGTCCACCATGATGGGTGGAGGGCGCTCGTATGGTCGTCCAGCGAAACGCTCAGACGGTCTGCGGTAAGGACGCAGTAACGAGACGTGGTAGACATCATGCACAYGAGCCTKGCGTAGGTAGTCGGGCAGCTTCACACGAAAKCTGACCGGGYTAGATGYCGTATCAGRACCGATGGCCTGGAGGATGCGGCATGGGCCAAAGAAGCGACGCCGAAACTTGCGAAGCGTGTCCGCTTCGAGCTGTAAGTGGCGGGCGTCGATAAGCACATCATYACCGACCTTGAATGGGTGATCCATCCTCGATCGGTTCGCACGTGCTGCCATGCGAGTCTGGGAAGCGGCTATGTGCTCATGTGCGGTCTTCATAATCGACGTCATGTGTGCAACCCAATCATCCAGCGCGGGACAACTCGTGTCGGGGTGCATCTGGGACGGTCGAAGGAAGTCCGCGGGAACACGCGGCTGATAGCCGAGGTCGCAATAGTAAGGCGACATCCCCGTGGCTGGCGAGACGGCGTGGTTGTAGGCTATCTCCGCGTGGGCAAGATGGAGATCCCACTGCTGGTCATCACGAACAATTTTTCAGAGAATATCCCCGAGAGTCCTGTTCGTGATCTCGGTCTGACCATCAGTTTGAGGATGGTAAGACGAGGAGAAGCGGAGCTGAGTGCCGTACACCTCGTGGAGCCGTCGCCAGAATCGGCTGGTAAAGCGCGGGTCACGGTCAGATATGATGCTCAGAGGTAAGCYGTGGTCACGCAMGACTCGGTCAAATACGATGTCGGTGACCTCACGTGCACTGATGGCATAGCGGCACGGAACAAAGCGTGCACGCTTCGTGAAGCGGTCGACGACGACCAG